ATCTATCTATCTATCTATCTATCTATCTATCTATCTATCTATCTATCTATCTATCCGCACAGGGTCCCTCACTAAGCCTGAAGCTTATCAGTTCAGCTAGGCCACAATTTTAGGGATCTACCTATCCCCCACACCAAATGCTAGAGTTACAGGAACACATTGCCATTCCTACTTTTTATGTAGATTTTGGGGACATGAACTAGAGTCCTTGTGCTTATGCTCAGGCTTGTTTGGGTCACTATGTAGCTTAGGCTGGCCTTGAACTCAGAGCAATCTGCTTACCTCAGCTTCCCCAGTGCTGAGATAACAGCTGTGAATCATAATACCCAGTTCTAGTATGTTCCCTCTTTAGAGCCATCAGCAGAAAAGAACTATATAAAATGAAAATGCAGATGGCAGCCAACCACTCCACATCATTGAAGGCCTTAGTCTCTTGTGCAGTTATGGAAGCAGGAGAGAGCTGCGTGTCTGCGATGCCAGATCCTGACATGTGTACCCTAAGAACCCATACTGGGTATCTGAGACAGAGTCTAGGAGAATGGCACTGCTTGGGCACTGGCTTGGAAGTCAGCAGGTCTCAGGGCACTGAGGACTGCTTTTAGGGCATGGTGGCAGACAAGCTGAATGGCTACAGCAAAGGCCAAGGAGAGACCTTAGTAAAGGATTGTTGTGCCACTGCCCAGGGCTAAGAAACCCTCTGTGGCTGTGCTGGGTAGAGTGAGGCCTGGCCTTTAGGCTGGGCTTAATGCCCTCTCAGAGCCCAGAAAAGTTCTTGAGGGAACCGAGCTTTGGAACAGCAAGCGATTGCCATGATGGGTATACCAAGTCCCCACAGGATGAGGAGAGACCACCCATGTCAGCTCAAGCTCTTTGAGGAGCTGGGGCCATGTAGTCCTGGCACCAGGTTCCCTAGCATGCAGATGTTCAGGAGTCCTTGAGGTTCCAAGATCTGTGACCTATCCCAGAGGGACAATGTAGTGGGTGCTGAATGAGCAGAGTGAGAGATTTGCAGCCCAGCTCCAAGCAAACCTAGTTAGCATACTGATACTTAAGCATACTTCCCCTTAAGCTAAAATGAGAATTCTTATCATTCTCAGACACTAGGGGGACACTGAGAAGATAGCAAAGTCTTTCTGGCCTGAAGTCTGTAAAAACAAACATGGCAGTGGTCTGGCTAGCAGCTTCATGGAGTCTCAGGTAGAGAGGAGGCCTAAGCATGCCCATGCTACCTACATTTCCACTCTGTATAGTCTGGGGATGCTGGGTACCACCTTGAGCTCCCATCCCAAGGCCCCGGGCTGTAGCTAGGAAGACAGGGAGAACCCAGGGTAGTCCTGTCCTCCAGAGGAAAAGCACGCTACCCCTACCTTTTCCAAAACCTTCTCTTCACTGGCTCATGGAGTCTATCAGCTGAGGACTGCTCATCAAGAATGCTGACACCTTTGCAGTCTGGAAAATCACATGAAATCAATTGTCACTCATGTGAGGGCATTCTATTGCTCTGATGTGTGTGGGTCCCTTGTGCTGTATCTGATATCTGCCTAACTGGAGCTGTCCAACTCCATGGGGAGAAAAGACCACAGTGGTCTTTCTCTTTTGGCCAGTGAGGTGAAGGCCTGACTGGACTGGTACCATGCACTCACTGACTGCTACTACCACTTCAGTTATTTCTGAACAACAGTGGTTCTCAACTGGTTCGTTCTGAGCTACCTGCCCAGCCCCTGAACATTTTTGGTTGTCCAGAACAGGCAGGGGGGAGGTGCTACCTGCACCTGGTGGGCAGAGGTCAGGGATACTGTTTAAACATCCTACAGCTCCACCACAAAGAATTACCTGACTTCAAATGCCCACAGTGTTGAGGGATGACAGCCTCTTCCACACCACAGGGACCTCCTTTTGGGAGGTCAGACATCAGAAGCCCCTTTCACCTGCTGTGGTCCTACTATTCTTTCTGTCCTTTCTCATGACTCAACTCTTTGGACTAGTTCCCAGGGTGTCTTCAACTCCTTTCTCTGACCTTAATCCAGCCTGCGTTTTTTTTCCCCCTTACAGGCAGGTCTCTCCAACAAGTTCCCTTTTCTCCCATTCCATGTCTTGTTCCCATCTCCTCATCTCACTCTGTGGTTGAACAGGCTTCTGAGTGAGCTCCCAGATCTTCTTCAGGCTTCATCTTCCCTCACTGCCTCCTCTCAGCCTCTTTTCCTCCACTTCCTCCTGGCTTTCTGACCCTTCTCAGCCTCCTCTTCTGGCTTCTCCCTTTGCACAACCCGCAAATATGACGCTTCTTAGGGCTCAACCTCAGACTCCTTCCCTCACTCAGATTCCTCTTACTCCCTAAAAATGAAAACTGGCGGAACCAGCCAGAACTATAGTTTGCGCAGGGCTGGTGCTGAGTAATTATGTGTTGACCAAGTGACTGCATCATCCATTTCCAGGCTTGAATCTTAGAACCAGGTCTCTCTTTGAAGCATCAAATGGCTGCTTCGACATTTTACTTTTGTTCTCAAAGCAATTCAAACTCAAACATGTGACTATCTTCACTCTGATAACTCCCTCAGGGCTCAGGACCTGCATGCTATTCTGATTCTCCTTCTCCTTGTTCCCCCTGCAACTCTTTCCCAATCAACACTGCTGCCCATGCCTTTGACAATCAGCCAGTCTTATCCAGACCACAGCTTCCCAACTGTCTATCTATCTTGGTCCTTCAAATCTATTCTCCCAACGCAGCAATCTTTCAAATCAGAAATATGGTCACATCACTCCCCTACACGGAGCTTCTCATTACTTGACTGCATTCTTTGTGCAGGGCTAAGAGACCTCTGTGGCTGTGTTGGGTATGGTGAGGCCTGATTTGGAGGCTGGCCCTCGGAGCCCAGCATGGTTCTTGAGGGGACTAAGCTCTGGAACAGCCATACCAAATATACTGAGTCCCCAGAGGATGAGGAGAGACCTCTGAGCCCCACTCAACTTTGTGTTCAGGTTGACAGCAAAATGAACTCTTCATGTGAATTTCTGCCTTCAAGTTCTTTGGGGCTCTGCTGGGGCTCCTCCACCCTTTTGGTCATACCAATATAGTCTGCCCTCAAGCACCCTCAGCCACATTAAGAACCCCACCACCCTGAGGTTTTGAGTCCACTAGTCAAGAGGGAGGCGTAGGCAGGTTTAGTAAGCAGACCTAAGATCTGCTGCTGTAGTACATCTAGGGTCGTCCGGATCATTCCGGAAGGCTCTTTCATCTGGCTGTGTTGGGAAGTCTGCAGGAATTTTGTCCTTGACCTAGCTTTCATTAGCTAGAATGTGACATCAGGTGCTCTTCTGGTGATACTATTCTATGATGCAGAGAAGACAAAGGGAGTCCCATGCACGGATGACAGTTCTCAGACTTGTCCAGGGCTAGGTTCAGTTAACTCAAGAACCTGGCTTCACCGAACTTGCCAAATCCTGTGCTGGTAGCTGGGCCCATGTCATGTCCTGTCTGGCTCACTCACTTCTTCTTCAAAAGAACAATGATGACACTTACAAAGAGGATATTTTAGCAGAAGGGAAAACATTTTCAAGAAATAAACACTTCACTCAGTTTTTAAAGAAATGTCAAGGACTACCTGGCTCCCTGTTGGTAGCACCACAATCTAGTGTGAGGGAAGAACCATCTTCATTTCTTATAAGAACAATGCAAAGGCCAGGGAAAGGGCGGAAAAAGAAAGGAAAGTAGGTGGCCGCTCTGCCAGCACGTACAGTGAGATTCAAAGCTGTGGCATATAGGGCTGACCTGATGATGAATGGGCCTCTGGCCTCCAGGAGCTTCCGTTCACTGCTAAACGTCTGCAGGAGGTTGATCATGAACTTGTAAAAGTAGGAGTTCATGGTGGGAGTGGAAGGAGAACATTCCAAGCCTTTGGTACCTGCAGAGAAAGAAACAGAGCCAAGATTTAATCTGATTGCATGTCTACAGGGCGGGGAGACGCAATACAATTGTAAATGCCAGAGGGGTGTAGGGGTGTGTGTGTGTAAAAAGATGAGAGAAAACTTTCCAATCAGGGCTCACAGACTAGAAGCAAGAACTTTACAAGTACATACAATTTACCAGTTTACTCCTCCATCTAATCCCGTTCCGCCAAGTGAACACCTCACCTGTAAGACCTCCATTAGGTGCTACAATAAAAACGGAGCAAGCCCTGGAGAGACGGCTCTATAGTTACGGGTATGTGCCGCTCTTGCAGAAGACTTGAGTTTGATTCCCAGTGCCCACATCAGGCAGCTCAAAACCACTTGTAACTCCAGTGGATCTGGCACTGTCTTCTAGACCCCATGGGAATCTGTATTCATGTACACATATCCACACAGGTAATTCGAAATTAAAAAAAAAAAATCTTAAAAAAATAAAAACAAATGAGCACAATTCTCCCCATTATCCCAACAAATCAGATATATGTGGGGTTTACTTTGCACAATTAAGGACAATGACCAGTCAGAATAAAGAGGTTAGACACATAGCTGGGCATGGTGGCATATGCTTTTAATCCCAACCCTTAGGAGGCAAGGGCAGGCAGATCTCTATGAGTTTGAGTCCAGCCTGGTCTAGGTAGTGAGTTCTAGGACAGCCAGGGCTATGCAGAGAGATCCTTTCCCAAAAAAACCCAAAACAACAAAAACAAACCAAAAAAGAGGTTAAACAGGTACAACTACTACATGATCAACAAACCGGCCAACCCCCTTGAGGCACAAGACTAATTCCTTCCCTAGTGTGGAGAAAAGAAATAGATCACGTACACAAAGGCTGGGATAAGATGAGATATGTTCAGAGCAACATGACTGGATCCTCACCTAGCACCGAGAAATAGGTAAAGGTGTTCTCAGGGTGGTGCTGTGAAAGCCTGCAAAGGCCTGGCTAACTGTGTAATACAAACAGCATTGCTCTTTCACACGCTTCAGCTGAAAGCATGCTTAGAGCCTCACACCACCTCCTCCAGCCTGCTCTAGCATGTGCGCCCTTGCCGAAGCTTCCAGCACTGAGGGAACTAGGGGAAGACTGATGGTGCTTGTTCTGTATGGGCTATCTGCACACCCCACACAATCCCCCTTCCTTTCTAATGCATAGTGACCCCAAACAGTGCTAGAAAGAAGGACAAAGATGGTGGGATTTCTCAGTCTGCCCAATGCAATACTGGGACATTTTTGACAAAAATAACAGCTTTATTAGAGTCTCATCCTTGCCCCATAAAGTATTCCTTTCAAAGCGTACCATTTACAAGCTTTCAGAACATTCACAAGTTGTACAGACACTGCCAGTAACTGTAGAATACTTTAGTTACCCCTCTACTGGAGTCCTCTACCTATTGGCTTCACTTCCCAGTCCTGAAAACAGGCTTCTTCTCTCTATGGACTGGCCCATTCTGGACATTTTACATGAATAAACCCAATATGGCTTCTTTCATGCAGCATACATTCAAGGCTAATCCTGGTTGTGTATGTCCAATCTTCATTCATTCTAATGCTGAACAATGGACACACCCTATTGTATTTGCTAATTCATTAAGTGGCGAGTACTTGGTGGTTTCTACTCTGTGGCTATTAGGAATAACGCTGCTGTAAACAGTCATGAGTTCTGTATGGAGAGGTTTTCCTTTCTTTTGGCTATATACCTAGAATGAAACTGCTCAGTCACATGAAAACTCTTTGGGTCCTGAAGACCCGAGTCGCCAGGCCACTATCCAGAGTGACTGCAACAGCGTTCCATCTTTTTTACATCCTCTCCAGCACATGCTGTCAGTCTTCCACTATAGCCATCCTAGTGGATGGAAGTGCTGCTTCATTGTGGCTTTGATCTGTAGTTCTTTTCTGGAGAAACAGCTACTCAATTCCTTTGCCTGTTTTCAAAACTGAAGTATTTGCCTTTATTATTACTTGAGTTCTTCATATATGCAGCAGGTTCTTATCAAGTAGGTGGTTTATAGACATTTTCTCTTTTTCTGTAGGTTTCTCCCCACTTCTTGCCAGGAAAGTTCTCCAGTACAAAGCTACATCCCCGGTCCACCTTCTTGATAGTGTCCTCTGAAACAAAACTATTTGGGCTGGGACACAGTTCAGTGGTAAGAACATTTGTCTACTGTGTTCAAGGTCCTCGGTTAAATTCCCAGTATTGCAAAATGAAACAAAGCAACATTTGTGATGCTGCAAGGCCTTGTGTATGCATGCTACGGAGCCTCTGCCACTGAGACATACACTGCCAGTCCCACAGAACTTTAGTTTGGTTAAGTCAAATATATAATTTGTTTCCTTTGGCTGCTTAAGCTTTTGAGACAGTAGGGTAAATAGAGCCAACTGAGGCAACAGAGGCTATCAGCCTCTGAGCTGGCCTCTCTCTGGTCTGAATAGAGCCCACTGAGGCAACAGAGGCTATCAGCCTCTGAGCTTGGCCCTTCTCTGGTCTGGAAACCTCTCTTCCTGAAAGGGCAAGCAGGCACTTGCACAAGGTAGGCTGGACGTAGGGGGCTGTGGACATCAAGCTTGGTTGTGGGATCACACATGAGCCTCCAGAAGCATCAGCTTGAGTGTATAAAAGAATGTAAAAAACAAATTACAATGAGCCTCCCAGAGGAGCTGCTGGCTGTCACTGGCCACAGTGGCACCGAAACACCCCAGGGCTCCTGCTTTGTGTTTTATCTTGATCTTTATAATCTTTATAGGACGTGGCTGGGAGCCAGAAGGCATTTTTGTTTTTCTTCCCCCTCCCCCCAGCTGCAGATGCCTCATCCTTAAAACCCATCATTTTCATTCCTTATACTAACAGACCCCTCTATCACCAAACTCTGTCACCTTCAATCCCAAGGCCTTTCTACACAACACACTTCCAAATCCTGCCACCCTAAATCCCAAGACTCTTCTGGACAATACCCTCCCAGACAACTCCTCAGAAACTGCACTGGGGACTCTTGAGTGAAAAGCCCAGTTTAAGGGCAGGCCTCATTCAACTCTCTGCTGTTTGTATTGTATTGTCTGGGTCCCTGCTGGGGACTGCCTGGCTGCCCTGGTCCTGAGTGACTCTGGAATGACAAACAGTCTTTGCTCCCTGGCCCAGAGGGGCTGTTTGCAGAATCAAGTGTCAAATTCTTACAGATCAAGTAACTCCAGGCCCAGCTGTTGAGGCAGCTCCACCTCACCATCTTCACCCACAGGAGATAATTCAGTGGTGGCTGTCATGGCCTGGCTACCTATCCCCCACCCCCAGGGGCATGTGAACAAGAATCCAGTTAATTATATTCTTCTCCTGGGTATATATCTCTGCATTATCTGGGTCCCTGTCTCCTTCCTGCTTCTATGGAGGCACCCCCAGCGCCATTCCATTTCCAGGCTGAAGGCCAGTAGGCTTCAAAGTACTTAAAAGGACAAAAGGACCAATGAAGAGAGTAACCACAAATAAGTCCTCCCTGGCTGTGGCTGCCTGGGAGCCCTAAGGAGCTGTGTACTTTGGGGACATGGGAGTTCTAGTCTCACAGGAACATGGGAAAGAAAGCATTGAGCTTGGTGCTTTGGCCTCAAGTTTCTTTATAAGTAGGGGCGGTAAGAGTGCCTAATAACTGAGACAACATATGTCATGTGCTGGGCAAGGCATGCCATGCGTCTGTACTCAATAAATGGGGTGAGTGTGACATCAGCAAATGTCTCCTGTCTTGGAGCACTGTGTGGGGCAGACTGCTCTTATTCCCTGCAGAGCAGGCTGGACAGGTGGCAAGAATTAGGATCTCAAACAAACTCAGAATTCTGTTGGGATGCTCAGGCAGGAAGAGGAGTTACCTGCGACCCCCTCCAGCTCAGCTAACAGACTGGCCAAAGGCAGGATGAGGTGGCTTGGGGTTACCTGGACACATTTCTGCCCTTCTTAGTAAGAGCTCTCACTGGTCTAAATTGTCTCTCGGTGCCCAGGCTAAATGGTGGTGGCCTTTAGTGGAGAGACAGGAAGCACATGTAACAAGAGACTTTAGCTCTTATGAGCAGTGCCCCTGGGAAACCTGTGAACTCAGTCCTTCAAGTGAGCCCATTGTTCAAAGACCACACAGGAAAAGCCAAGTATTCCCCAACTAGAGCCGTGTGCCTTTCCCAAGACTTTGCTGACAGGAGGCTTAGCAGTAGCAAATTAGGGGAGCCACCCAGAGGCCCAGATTGGCCTGTATTGAATACAATCATCAGGAGCAGGACCTCTGACCTTAGAACCCCATTTGCCAGGAAGACACTGTACCCATGCAGGGCGGGAGTCCTGGGCAAGAAAGGGGAGCTGTCAGTGCTCACTGTTGACAGTGTCAGGGTCTGTGCGAGCTCTCTCCACCTTGGTTTTTCCTTATCCCAAACTCCTCTGACCATAGCAGCGTTCAGGCCCACTGTCTGGAGAACACAAGAGGCTCCTGTAAGACTGTCGGAATCTAGCCTCTGTTCAGGCCCCTGATGGGATCCTGTCAGTGAACCCCAGATAGCATGCCCATGCCACCACATCTCACCTCAAAAGTGAGTTTAGATCCTGCTCTGCACCCTTTCACTGCCATCTGTCTGGGAATCAGAGTGCTCGGGTGCAGACTCTTGCTGTGAACTTCTCCCTCATCCTAAAAGAGGCATAAAAAGAAGACTCTCTCTTCTGCCACGATGTGAACATTGATTTTCTTTAGATATTCTGCTATGCTGTCTCTCTCTGCTGCTGGGTCTGAACCCTCCTTGGAGCTCCCACCATATTGTTGCCTTCTCTGCCTCTTTTGCCTATTGTTTTAGTAATATCTAATAAATTCTTCAGTCCACAGTAATTTGACTCAGTGTCCTCTTGAATCACCAACCCCATCCAAAACCTAATGGTTTTTGGCCAGGGCTATGGGGCTTGGGAGAGAAGGTGGAAAGAATAAACTTGCCTCAGGAGAGT